TCTTAACATGAACTAGGATCATGCATGATTTCTAACTAGTTCTTTGTTTTGGCTCGGAGTACACTGTGAGTGTTTACGCTTTAGGATACTGCATGTGTGTTAATGTTGCCATGTTAGCATGCTTTCCATGAGGCTAACTGCTTATGTGATTAACTGCCTGAATGCCTGTGGGTGAAGGTTGGATTACTTGAATTGGAACAATTCATTGAAATCCGTATTTTAGCCTACTTGCGAGTAGCAAACTTCAAACCATTTTCCAAACAAACGGATATGCGATGCTTTGTTCCAGATTAGGCGATCTAGTCTATACTTGTTTGCTGTGCGCATCACGTAGTAAGACTAGCTAATTAATCGAAATAAGAGCACATGTGCTTTCAAAAACAAGATATAATGCTTAATATAGGCTGATCTTTGATCAGGCGAGCAGGGGTGCTCATTGCATGACCTTCCCCTCTCGTACCCAAGTTCCCGAGCCGAGGCAACTTTGGTGATGACGGACACGTGGCCTTAGGCACGAGTTAGGGTTTCCTAAATTCTCCCGAAACAAAATATTTAGGTGGTGACTCTGTATCTGGCAAAGCAGTCCATGTTTGGCACTTCTTTATTAAAAATCAGTTTTCCAAAACGCTTTGCCGGATTTGGACTCTTTGGTGATTTATCGGTCTCACATCGCACATTGTGAGATTAGATTCAGAACCGTGACATTTGAGTCCGAACTGTGGTAAGCGCACATGAACGAAGCGGGATTTTCCCGGGACGTTCGGGCGCGTCCACACCTGTCCACCTGCACTAAAAGCTATTTCCGAAGCAATTGTAGAAATTAGAACGGTTAGTATATCACGGGCCATCTGTGAAATCATAGGTCACATAGTTTTATTTTGTTTCCACCATTCCAAAATGTCAAAATCATCGGAATCATCCATTGACAGACTTTTCAAATAACGTTGTAATTCAGAACCACTTATACTTGTATGTTAAGATATTCTTATACTTTTTATTGCTAAAAAAACACTTAATCTCCCACCTTGAGATGAGACTGCTAGAATAGTATGTGTATGTGTATTTACAGATGCAGCTACCCTGTATTCTTCAAATAATCCATTGCATGTTGCACAATAGGGGCAAACTGTGTTTGATCAACGAAAATACATTCTAAAAATTCTTGTAAACCAATTCCTTTACACCTAGGATCAATTATTATGGCTAAACCTAAAAGATGAAGCAAAGGATCAAAATATTTACCAAATTTTGTTTTCATTGAAGTAATAAAGGTTATATAATATTCATTACTCATATATCTTATGAAAACTTTAATTATTCCTGTTAGCATATGTAAAACAAATGGTAAAGTAGGAATATATATATATATATATATATATAAGAAAATAATTTTGTTGAAATATCAAAAAAAAAATTAAAAAAATCTTTATACAAGGATACTTGCCGCCAATTAAGTTCTGTGGGAGTCAATACTTCTCCTATTGATATTTTTGCAAGAAATAAATCTATTGCTCTTCTTTGTTTACAAGCTATTTTTAACATATTATATGTTGAATTCCATATACTATCTACATCTAAAATTAATTTTTTAAATGACACATTTTCTCATTGACAAATTTTTCTATATTCCGAAGTTCGATTAGCAGAAGACATAATAGTAACAACTGCATTTTTTATTACAAGTACAGAAGTCTCGCATACATGCATAGCTTCTTTAACAATCAATTTAAAATATGGATACAACAACGAACATGAAATAAATCACCATCAACAAGTAATTGTAAAGTTAATTTTAAATGGGCTACAGATTGATTATAATATGTAACTAATCATAAATATTTTATTTTGTAAAGTCCACTTATATAATACATTTCTTATTTTTACACCATGTGAATGACCAGTGTATGGAAGTTCAGCTAATTTAAATAAAATAATTCTTTTATTTAATTTCCAATCATTATCAATAAAATGTGCAGGGATATATTGATATTCAAAACCATTATTTGACCACAAATCAGATTTTAAACAAACTCTTCCATTCAAATTTTTAAAGATGTCAAATAATTCACTTTTAACATCTTCAAATTTCTTTAAAATCCTATTTCTAGTAGTATTTCTTGAAAAATTTTGATATTGGATGCAAAACTTTTGTGAATCATTTCGGTAAAATCGAGACATTCACTAGTAATAAAAGGTTGCTCTTTTTTAATAATATAATCAATTACAGAATTTTGTACACGTATAGGATCATATGAAAATGTTTGCAAGTTACCAGTTGGTGAAGCCCCTAATTGCATTTGACTTCGAATATCAGGTTGTTGACTTTGTAAATGTTTGTTAGCATGCTTTTTTAGATGACTAGTACCCCTGCAGATAGGGGTGGGCAACGGTTTATCCGATCCGCAAAACCAGCCCAACCTGCCTAAACCGCATACAAATGGGCGATTTTGTAGACACAGTGTGGGCAGATGCGGTTTGGAATATGACGTGCTTGCGGGTTGTAGACGGGTTGCGGGTTTAACCCGCACTCGCAAGAACATGCCCGCACTTAAAAAAAAAAAAATTAATCGTTGATTTCATTCATATATTCCGCCTAGATATTTTTGCCTAAAACAAAACACCAAACCTTTTTCTTTTTCTTTTTTTTGTCAAAGGAATTATGAAGATTGAAGATTAAAGTACCTATTTTTTGGTTTGTTTTTGTGCATAGTTCATCAACCAAATGCATAGAATTGAAATTTTTGAAAGTTGGATGTAATTCATAATGGAGTTTGAGATCTTGCAAATGTTTTAATTTTATTTAATGGGTTTGAGTTGAATGAAGTTTCACAACAAATTTAAAAAAAAAAAATTATTATTGCATTTTGGATGAATGTAAAAGTTAATGAAGAATTACTTTTAGGTAAGCTTAAGATTTTGAATGATTTTACTTTAATTGTATTGTTGGATAGTAGATAGATAGTGAATGGGATTGATGATCTAGTTTAAGATTTTGAAATATGTACTTGTGTTACTTTATGATTTGATTTAAGATTTTGAATGATTTGTTTGTGTTAGGAATTGATTTTGTTGTGTTTTTAACTTTATAAGTTTTAATTCATTAATTATTAATGTTGGAGCATTTTAGAAAAATGGAGGGAAAATGGTCCAAAATGAATATTTATAAAATGGGAAGAAAAAAAAAAGTTTCAAAAATAAATTTTAAAGAAAAAAGTCCAATCCGCAAACCGCCCGTAACCGCCTGCACAACCGCAAACCCTAATCGCACAAACCACAAACCGCACTATGGGCAGTTGCGGTTTGACTTTTTTCCAAACCGCATGCATGCGGGCGGGTCCAAACCGATCCGCAAACCGTCCAAAACCGAACTGCGAACACCCCTACCTACAGAAGCAGCACTAAGTAAAGTGCACAATATTTACATTTTGAATTAAATGTAATTGTACCATCAGGATTATTTATAAATATTTTTTCAACATGTTCCCAAACACTACTACTTCTACCCCTAGATGATGATCCAACTGTTAGAAGAGAAATATTAGAAGGAGAATCAATAGATTCATGTTGTATAATATATGTATCAACATCAACATAAACATTAGGAAATTAAGATTTATAGTAATGTAAGTAAAACAATATACAAAAATTAACAATTAACTATTAATTTAAATAATGCATAAATATAATGAGTAAAAAATAATAATGAATATATGTGCACAAATAATTAATAAAAAAATTAGTAGTTAATAAATTTAATTAAATTAATTAATGTTACCGACTGGCGAGTGCGATACAAAAATTACCTTCTTCTAATAAAAGTTTCTTGTTGCACAATTTGCCACTTAGGAATGACACTTCAAAATTAATTGAGAGTTGAGAGAGATTGAGAGTTTAAGAGAGAGAATTAACTGTGAGATTTATTTTGGAAGAAGGAGATATTTATAGTAGTTTGAAAGGTTCAAGTAAATGTATAAATTAAAAATATATATATTACTGTTGTATTAAATGTAATATGACCGTTAATTATTATTTTTTATTTTTAAGTGCAGACATTATTATTAAATTTTTTTTCCATTGCAACTTAATTTGATGTGGCATAAAGAGTGATGTGACGCATGATGCAAAGAAAGAGCAAGGGGTAGGGCGGAGGCAGCAGGTGCATGCAGACAATTTATTTATTTATTATTATTATTTTTTTTTTTTCATTGCAAGTTGCAACTTGATATGAGACTCAGTGAAGAGGGATGTGACACATGCAAGGGGCAAGGGTAGATAGGCGAGCGGAGGCCGCTGTAGAGATGCAGAATTATAAAAAAAAATTTTCATTCATTCATTGTAAGAGAAATGACCGTTGTTTTGTTTTATTTTGTTATAAAAATTGTTTTGTTTTTTGTTTTTTTTTTTTTTTTTGTGCAAGATCAGGCTTTTATTTTTATTTTTATTTTTCACCGTTGCAAGTTGCCTTTTATTTATTTATTTTGAAATTTGACCTTTGTCACAAAAAGAGAGAGAGAGAGAGAGAGAAAGAGCCGGGTGGGCCGGGCTGCCCGCAGGGCCCGAAATTTTTGTTGGGTTGGACCGGACTTCAAATGAAAGCCCAGGCCCATGGTATTGGGCTAGGCTCGAGCCCAAGCCTAATTGGGCTAAAACGAGTTGGACCCACCTCGGACCTCGGGTGGGTTTCAGGCTGCCCACGGGTCTCAAGCCATTTTTACAACCCTACCTCTTTTCCTAAAATAATATATTGATAGATGAGTATTTGTTTTCTAATTACACAAGCTCTACTCACTCTCCCACACCATAAATTTAATGTAATTTATGTTGTAATTCAATCGGGCTTGATTCCAATTAAATTTCGTTTCCATTAAATTTAGGATAAAGCACCAATAAATCCCAAGTTAAAAACTTGTGAATCAATTCTGTTTTATCTTTCAAACCCATAAGTCCCAATGTAATGTTAATTACCTATTTGTACACAATTTCATCGCGTGCCAGCCAAATGGGAGGGGTATGTGGGGGCATTTTGGTGATGCAAAAATTACTGGTGTGTCCCAAGAGGGTTTTGGTTTTCCCCCCACTGATCGAAACGAAAGGGACGAATATGGAAGGTTCTGTGTGTTGTAATGTTTGTGTGTTTTGATTTTGGTAATGTTGGAGCCTCAATTTTACATTCAAAATTAACATCCATATTCGTGCTAAACCCCAGAACTGCGAGAAACCATTCCTGAGATTACATTTCAGTCGCCGTCCCAAAGAAAACACTGAATCCATTGACGTGTGGAGCAACGTTAGGGGTGGATGGAACGTCATTTCACATACGATCGTCGACGTTGACCGCCAGTTGTGTTTGGTGACCCATGGCCGCAGGTATATTCTTGACGATGTTGTCTCGAAGGTTTCGTACAAATGTGTTGATGTTAAATCAGAAATTGTACGTGTGGCATTTAGGATAGTCTGTTGATGTTGCGTACTAGGTAGTAATGTTTTTTACATTCGAAATGTGTTGAGTTCAGTGACCTCAGGAAGGGTAGCCGGCGAGTTCACATACGACCTTCGACGTTGAATGCCGGTTGTGTTTGGTCACCCATGGCCTCGTGTATGTTTGTGACGATGTTGTTTCGAGGGATTAAATTGGAATTTTGTGTGTGGCATCTATGATTGTGCGTTGAGGGTGAAGTCATGTAATGGGCCATCCCTGTTTGTGCTTGTATTTATGGTAATGTGGAATAATGTTGTGAGAAATGAGTGTGTCTTACAATATGGTATTTCCTGTTGCAATATTTGTGTGAATTATGTTGGGTTCGTCGAAAGACGCTCAGTCTATAATGCAAAACGTTTGTAATGGTTATGTTAGGGTCCCGAATTGTGTGTTGAATGTTAATGAGTCAGTGTTATTAGTTTAGGATGGAATACATATGTTGATGTTATTTCAATTGATGTATAATCAGAAAATTGCCCTGTTTGGAGGCAGGATATGCCTTGTGTTGTGATAATTTCGACATGTGGGTTTTGTTGTTAACATCATTCATCCATGTGGGGCAACAGATTTTGCACCCTAAAAATGGTTGTGTATGTTGGTTTCTAGACACATTGTGGATTAACATTATGTGAAATAAGTGTGTGTCTTGCAATATGGTATTTCTTGTTGCAATATTTGTGAAATTATGTTGGGTACGTAGCCATGGCACTCAGTTTCTAATGTGAAACGCCGTAATGGTTGCTTGTTGTTAATGTTTTTGTAATTATCTGAATATCGTGGCGTACATGTTATTCTTTGATGAAAATATGGGGTTACAATATAACATGTGTTCATCAACTCATGCAGTATTTTTTTTTTTTTTTTGGGTTCCCTAAAAAAATCAATGTGCCATATTCTGGATGGATGTGGGCTTGATGGTTTACACCGGACCAATTATGGAGTGAACGTGAATGTGATCATGACATTGTGTTCACTAAAATGTTGGCCATTAGTGCCAAGTTAAACGGTAAATGTAGAAAAACAAATAGGGTGTTACAATGAAAGATTTTTAATTTTTAGATTATTTATACAATAAATCATACATTAATCAAGACTAATTAAGGGATAAAAAATCTTCATAATGTATTTCATAATATATTTTTCATGATTTCTAATATTACTCCTTATTTATATTTGCTCTCTCTCTAATATATACTTGCTTTACACGTGTCAAAACTTGATTGGTTAATCTATTTAATTTTGTCTACTATATGAAAAAACAGGCAAGGGCATATGCAAAGGCAATGAAGGCCACACTTTTCTTCTCAAGTTCGACACACAACATCAACGTCAACAAGATATTCAAGTTCATAATGGCCAAGCTCTTTAACTTGCCTTGGACTGTCCAGAGAAATTTGACACTTGGTGAACCCATCATCGACTTCTAATTCGCGCTTTACTCTGTTGTACTCTCTTACTATCTTCTTCATCCATTTGTACATACATACACATACATATCCATCATCAATTAATTATCAATTAACACAACCAAAAAAAAAATTTTCAACTCATGCAGTATGTTTTTTTTTTGTTCTGGATTTTTTTTTTTTTTTTTTTTTTTTTGGGTTCCCAAAAAATATCAATGCACCATATTCTGGATGGATGTGGGCTTAATGGTTTACACCAGACCAATTGTGGAGTGAACGTGAATGTGATCGTGACATTGTGTTCACTAAAATGTTGGCCATTAGTGCCAAGTTAAACGGTAAATGTAGAAAAACAAATAGGGTGTTACATTGGACGTACAGGAAATGGAAAAAGCTCAACAGGCAATAACATTCTCGGAAGACAGGCATTTAAGTCGAGTGCTAGCTCAGCTGGTGTTACCAGTACTTGTGAGCTACAAAACTGTATTGACAAATGGCCAGATTCTTAACATCAATTAGCAATATAAGCGTTTTGTCTTTTGTTAATATGTTGTTTGGTTCAAACTGCTAACCTAATAAAAAATGGCAGAATTATTTGATGTTCCTGCCGAGTCTGAATTTATTGGAAAAGAAATTGTCAAATGCATCAATATGGCCAAGGATAGCTCATGCAGTTCTTGCAGTTTTCTCAGTCAGGTCCTGCTTTTTGAAAGAAGAAGAAGCTGCCCGTCGTAGCTTGTAGACTTTGTTTGGGAAAAATAATTTATGACTACATGATTGTAGTCTTTACTAGTGGCGACGAACTCGAAGAAAATGATGAAACATCGGAAGATTACCTAATGTTACGTATATTTTTGTGAAACATTTTTTGATGGTTGATACTAAAAATGTTTGGTGATTTTTAGGGAATGTGACGTTAGTTTTGAGTGACGCATAATTTTGTTGGTTCATATTTTTTGGGTGGTTAATACATAACTTTGTTTTGTCAACACTGTCATGAACACTGGTATGTGGACATTCCGTGGATATCATTGAATGGAAAATGTTAAATTGCACACCACACTTGTTAATTACCAAACTACATCCAAGCAGGGAATGACTCGGATATTGGTAACCGATCATGATGTAATAGTGTCACGTCATATTATTGAAGCGTTATTCACATTCATGTTATTCCGCATACGGAAATTGTGTTGTTCACTTATAATTTCTGATGAGTGTTGACCAGTTCGACAAAACTACACCAAACACATACTGTGGAGAGGGGAAAAGAACAATTGTACAGTAAACACCATCCAATTAACGCTTTACAGTAAACGCCATCGAAAAAAATGGTTACCACATTACAAGATAAGAATCACACACAAATAGAAATGTAAAACATTACCCTCTATATCATTACACACATTAGCAAAAAGAATCCCACCAAATCCCACCAAAAGGTAAATATGTAAACTCCACATATGTTAAATCAAAGGAAAATATTCGTTGCCAATTAAATAGGACCAAATAGTTCATAAAAAAAAAAAAAACATAAGATTAAATGGATCAACATTCCCTAATTTGAGATTTACCAGTAATTTTTCCTTAAATTTAAAGATAAATTACAATTACACCCCTTGAAATTTTTTTTTAAATATCAATTTTCTTCTCACATTTTGAAAATTACAAATATTTCAATTATTAAAATTTTCCCTACCACTAACCTAACAGGCAATCAAATTACTCAAATACTCTCTAATACCTAATACCAAAATGAAACTATCATACTATCCTCATTTTTATCCACCCACTATCAAATCTCTCTTTCTACACCACTAAAGTGTTTAATTTCTTAAAGTTTAATATAGGTATTTCCGAAGAAAAAAAATTTATTACTTGCATCTTACATTATAGCATCTTCAATTAGGCATTTTACCCATCTAAAAGTTACTATAATGTTTTTTTTTTTTAATTCACTTTTTTATGTTTTCACTCCAATTATACTTTTTATTGTAGCTATTTATCAAAATACTACTCACTTTATGAAATGGCATATCAACAACAAAGACAGAGAAAAAGGATCATCCAGGTCAAATAGAGCCTAATCCTTGAAGGATGGCTATATTTATCTAGTAAATGTGAGTTGAGACAAAATGTCAAATCATTTACATAGTGCATTGGGGTTTTAAAAAAAAAAATTGAATTATAGTAGGCATTTTAACTAACATGTATTACATACCTAGTGGGTTAGAGATACTCTCATATACTCTGTTAGTTTGACTTAACGATTGATTAACAGAGAGGGTCATTTGTTATGTGATTAAAAATATTGAAGGGTGAGATGTAATTTCTTAAATGTGAGGGGATAATTTGTATTTTTAACAAACCTCAAGAGATATATTTGTAATTTATCTTAAATTTAAATTATTTGTCACAATTTTACTGTTTAAAAAATGGGAATTGTATATTAGTGAGACACTTTAAAAGCATGAAAAAAATTTATGTGTGAATTTGACACGTGGAAAATATTTACTCTAAAATATATGAAAAAAACTTGTACCAAATATATGACAGACTTAGGCCAAGTTTGACAACACCAAAATAATCCATCTTTTTATCTTTTTATTTTTTTTCCATCACATCACCTCTCTACTTTTCTGCACATCTTTTCGTAAAAAGACAAAAAGTGTACTTATTTAGGCCATTCCAAACAACCCCTTATAGTTATGGAAACTTTTTTTTCCCCCCATTATGCCCACTTATTTGATGAAAAAAACTTGTACCAAATATATGACAGACTTAGGCCAAGTTTGACAACACCAAAATAATCCATCTTTTTATCTTTTTATTTTTTTTCCATCACATCACCTCTCTACTTTTCTGCACATCTTTTCGTAAAAAGACAAAAAGTGCACTTATTTAGGCCATTCCAAACAACCCCTTATAGTTATGGAAACTTTTTTTTCCCCATTATGCCCACTTATTTGAGATTTTTTTTTTTAATTTTCATTTAAAAATTAGTAGTTTATATTTCAAAGCATTTTAAGTATTGAGTAGGCTCAATGAGCCTTTGTTAAGAGTCAATAACGATAAATTAAAATTAAAATTAAAATTAAAATTTGAAATGCATATTTTATATTTCCTCTATTTCAATTTATTTCTCTATTTTAGAGAATCTAACTTATTAAGAAAATATGCAATTCTCACATTTTAAATTTTGAAATGAATTTACCACCACTATCTTGAATTTCGAAGTGTGTTTATAATGATTTAAAGTGGGTAGTTTTGAAAATCTAGCAAAGTTTAGTATCCAAAATAAAAGGTGAACAAATATTTTGAGACATGCCAAAATGGAGAGGTGGACAAACAAAATGGGATGGAGGAGATATAATTTAAACAGCAGTTCTACATCCTCAATTTCCCCGGCCCCCAAAACCCTCTTGAATGAGATGGCAAGGCATAATGTAAGTTCTATACCAATTGTTACATATTAGAGTGTGGACTAACTTTCGAAATTTTGTTTGCCATATCATTCAAGGGATTTTGAGAGAAAAAATTACAGCAATGCTAGGTATCATGAAAAATCTTTATGAAAATAATCATGAAAGTTTTGTGACCCTTGGATTACACTTAGAATAAAGTACCACACACTAATCAAGGTAATCCAAAGATCATAAATCTTTCATGATCATTTTCATGAAAAAATTTTCATGATCCCTAACTTTTCTCAAAAAATTATGTAAATGAATCATTTTTCTAATTCAAAATATTTTAAATACATACAAATAGGGATTGGATTCTCTCAAGTTAGCCATCCAACTTGAGAGAGTGTCTGGGTTTGGTAGGTTTATTTTGGAGTCGATTTCAATAATTTGAACTATTCACATTTTAAGACTCGTTGAATAGAATATTTATACAAAAAATTAATATGATCGAATATCAATAACTACATATTTGAATCACATTTATTTTACAAAAATGGATGACAATTATAATTTTAAGAATAATCATATATTTTTTAGAGTACAAATGTGATTCAAATATAAAACGATCAATATCTGATATCTTATTTTTCACATAAACATTTTACTCAATAAATACTAAAAAATAAATAATTAAAATCGCTCTAAAAAATGAACCTACCAACCTAAATATTCTCTCAATTCGACAAAAAGAGAATCCAATCCCATAAAAATAATATTAATGAGTGGTTATCAATTCATTTTAATATTTTTACAGTTCTCAAAAATGAACTTATCAACCTAAATACTTTCTCAAATTGACAAAGAATTATGGTAGGGGCTCCAAATAAATTATCAAATTTTCTATCAAACCTCTCACATGGGTATGAGACTCGCACAAATCACTTGTGCATAAATTTCACACTCATATAAGAGATTTGATAAAAAAAAATTAATAATTTATTTAAAATTTATAGCAATTTAGAAAAGAAAATCCAATCCCATACTAATTATATTAATGAGGGGTTATCATTTCATTTTAATATTTTTACCGTTGTCATGACATAACCGACAAAACAAAACCATAACGTTCGAAACGAGGGAAAGCCAGCCTTGTCACTCCCAACCTTTCCCAACGGCTACTTCTTTCCCCTTCTCTCCAACCTCCATATATATACACACCCCTAACTCACCATCACCACCATAAAACATTCTCTCTCTCTCTCTCTCTCTCTCCCCAAGAAGATAAGCAGTGTCCATGGCTGGCTTTGCAAGAGCTGTGTCTTCTTCTTCTTCTTCATTGGTTGTTCTATTGTTGGTCTTCTTGGCAAATAGCAGCTTATCAGAAGCCAGAGAGTTCTTGGTTGGAGGGAAGACACAAGCATGGAATGTTCCTTCTTCCTCCTCTCATCACTCTCCTGATTCTCTCAATCAATGGGCCGAAAGCTCCCGCTTCCTCATTGGTGACTCTCTTGGTAATCAATCTTCCTCCTCCATTTCCAAGCTTTATAGATCTCTTCCAATAATAAAATAAAACAAACATAGTCACAGAATTAACATAATCTTGTTGTGTTCTTGTTTGGTAGTTTGGAATTATGACAGCAACAAAGATTCCGTACTGCAAGTGAGCAAGAGAGACTATGTGACCTGCAACACTTCGAGCCCCATTGCAGAGTACAAGGACGGCAACACTAAGGTGAGACTCGACAAAGCAGGACCATTCTACTTCATTAGTGGAGCCGAGGGACACTGCGAGAAGGGACAGAGGCTGATTGTTGTGGTCATGTCTGAGAGACATAGGAGGCACTTGGGAATTGCTCCGGCACCATCTCCTGTTGAGTTCCAAAGTCCAGCCATTGCACCCACTAGCGGTGCCACCAGGTTCCAGGGCGGTTTAGTGGTGGTGACATTGGTTGTTTTGGCTGGGTTGGGTTTGATGTGGTGAGGGGTTTTGGGGGTTCCTCAATATTTTTAATTCAGTGCTATTCAATTTGATTTGATTTATATATTTGATGCATGGAGAGAAAATGAGATGTATTTTTTGTGGGGGGAATGATTTGATTTTCTATGTATGTGGGTTGACAGTAGATGCTGTTGAGCTACACAAGTAAAATTCAATATAAATTCATTTATTTATTTAATGTACAGTGCCTTTTTCTTTGGGATAAATTACACTGCCATCCTATGAGTTTGATTTAATACAGATTTTTTCTATATTTCAAAAAGTACTCTTTTTTTCTTTTACTTTTTGATAATTGAGTGTCCAATTTGTGTGCCCATCAACTAATTGGAGTTAACGATCGAATAAATTTCCACTACCTATCATCACCACTTCTCTAGTAATGAATCAATCATTAGAAAACTTAAGTATGCTCGACCAAAGTTTTGTACAAAAGAGAGCCCATTTTTTTTAATATTATACACATATCACATCAAAATAAATACATTACCCACAATGAAAATAAATATATTAATAACATAACCTGTTTTAGAAAAAATCCAACAAATATATATTGATTTTCTTTTCTAGCAACAGGCTCGAAATGGAAATGGTAGCATTTCAGTCCACACAATGCCAATGAAAAGAAACGACAATGCTAAGTAGCTCAAATTTTGTGGCTCAAATGGCCAAAACGACGTCGTTTTGAGTACAGAACAACATAAAAATGGGCAAAACGACGTCGTTTTGGCCATTTGAGCCACTTTTGAGCCACAAAATTTGAGCTACGAGACATTTTCCGAAAAGAAAATGATAAAAAAATAAAAGGTATGCATAAATTTATCACATTAAATTGTATTTCATAAGCTCATATGTCATTATTATACTTTGTCATCTCATTATCTCAATAAATAAATAAATAAATAAATAAAATAAAAAAGACAGAAATAATTAAATATTCTCATAAAATCAACTGTTAAAAGTAAAGAAAAAATATGTTATTTTGGTCCCAAAAAATCACCTAAAAGTGTTGCATATATATTTAAAATTGGTAAAATGTGAACTGCATGAGAATGATTGCAATATAGACCTGCTTTTTTGAATAGTTTTTTGGAATAGTTCTTTGTTTTACAGACACTCTTTGATAAATAAGAGTTAATTATCTAAAAATCATATCTATAAATATAAATGTTATGGTAGTTCAGGTCTTATCTAAAAAATTTTGAACCAATAAGTCATGTTTAGTAAAAATGATAATATTATCAATTTTTTCTAATTTTTAAAATCAAGAACATTATCAATTTTGCTTACTGATATTCCAGATAATTATTTCACTAATTGATGGGGAAAAAAAAATCATGAGATTAAACATTTTTACCCTTTTACTTATTAGTTTGATTCAACTATCCAATAAAACTGAGAACATTATCAATGTTTTCATTTTTACAAGTTTTTTTTTTTAATTTTATACATCAATGTTCCATCATCATGCTCTTTTATAGATCAAAAATTTTCAATTTTGCAAAAAATAATTCAATTTTTTGATTTTTTTTCAAATAATTTTTTTTTTTTTTTGCACGTAATTTTTTTAAAATTTTTTCAATTTGAAAATTGATATTTTAAAATTTTAAAAATCAAATCATCATATTCTTTTATAAATAATCATAAATGATGAATAATCATTGTCTAAAAGATAATTCCAACTATTAAAATTTAAATGAGACTTGAAAATCTAAAAAATTTTAATAATCTAGTATAAATTCATAAATTAAAATTTGTTTAAATGCTTCCGTAAAATACTCCTTATGATTATATATTTCACCCAGTCAAAACAAAAGAGATAAACTATTAATATGTCCCAATAATTAGATTTAATTTCTATCAAGTTTTATCGAAAATAAATCTTAATAAAATTGTCGCTAAAAATAATTTTTGTGAGACAACTTTTTATATATGTGGTTAAAAATTAATAATTTGACTTTTTTTTTTGTCATAATTTTTATAAATTGTTAATAAAATTTACAATTAATGACTTTTTTTATTACAAATTTTGCCTATAAGACCTATTAGACAATAAGTCCACTTATTAGGACTTACAAGTAAATACTCCAAACAAAAAAACTCACATGAACAAGAAAAATATTAAAGCAGAATTAATCAGGAAACCAACCACAAAAGCTCTTGCTAGTAGCAACACATGATTTTGTGTTTAATTTTTATAATTGATTGTAAACGGTCAATTCTAAAAATATAAATTATTATCCTCTTATAAATAATTACAACAAAAAAAATTTACAAATGATCTCACATACATTTTTTTCCCCCCTCCAAGTCTCAAATAGCATATCATAGTTTGGAAGGGCTTTAATTATGTTGTCACACAAATCCATCAATATGGGCACACTTCTGAAGAAGAATGAAGACGGTTACAACTTGACCTCCACATAACTAATGATGATGGATCAATTTCGTGAACAAATGAACAAAAATAAAATAAATGAAAATAACCCAATGCTCGATACTTCTGCTAAAGTAGATTTGGAAAGGAACAAATGATCAAATTTATTCTGAATATATATACATATATAAACTGAACTGACCTAAACCATGTGAATTATTGAAATCAGCTATTCATGAAATTCAAAATTGCTCGAATGGCGCGAATGGTACGGAAAATATTATCTTACCGGTAAGAGAATTAAAAAACATCTTAAAACGACGTCGTTTTGGGATTTCGAGCCACTCGAGCCACGAAAAATTCGAGCTACGAATCGGAACCGTAAATGAAAATAACCCAATGCTCGATACTTCTGCTAAAGTAGATTTGGAAAGGAACAAATGATCAAATTTATTCTGAATATATATATATATAAACTGAACTGACCGAAACCATGTGAATTATTGAAATCAGCTATTCATGAAATTCAAAATTCATTACATGACTGCAATAGTTCTGTTCCAGCATCCTCTCAATTTATTCAAGGAGACTCCGCAACTTTCCTTTTTCTAACTAATGTTCTTCTCTATATCAGTTATTGTCAAGTTCGATTTTGGTTGATCCCCAACAAATGCATAGAGTAGGACTCCAAAGCTACTCATGCATAGAGAATTTTTTGGCACAGGCTAGGGTTTTGGATTGGATACTCAACAGGAGTTATACACACATGTGGATCCATTTGCCAAGGACAACCCAAATTTAAAACCGAAAGACTCTGGAAATGCCAACAAAACCAAGTAGTTGTGTTGCATAGGCAGTCTGGACAATGGAAAGCCAGGTAAGACAACTACTATGATCTCTAAATTAACAGTCAGTTACAATCAAAATACTGAAAGTGACTTTACAACACCTCTATGAAAGTTCTAGCAGCAAGAAGATGCTGTTTTGCAGGAGAAAAAAAAAAAGAAAAAAAAAAAAAAAGAGAAGAAAACAACACCTTTAAACTAGGGAAAACGCCAACAGTAGCATAATAAATGATATGCCGATGCTCCATATGCAACCTTTAAACTAGGGAAAACGCCAACAGTAGCATAAGAATGCCCCTCCACTGAAATTTTGTCACCAACATTAGAACATCTGCTCCGTATGATTCTGCTAGAGAAGAAAAAAGAAAAAAGAGAGAATTGTCAGAAAGCAGATTATAACTAAAGCTATACAAATCCTCAACCACAAACACCATTTAAATGCAAACGTTCAAGGTTAACGGAAATTGGAAAGACAAAACTCCACACTTTTCGTGCTGACTAGAAGTTCAAACTTGTACATAAATTTGACGGCACATGCTGCAATGACTTGTAAAGGAAAACAAAGATGAGAAAAAGGTTTATAAATTAAAAAACATGTATAAATTTGATGCTGCCTAGCCACAATTACTTGCAAAGAAAAAGAGATGAGAGAAAGGTATAAAATTTTAAGACACATGTATAAATTTGATATTACATGCCGCAATGACTTGTAAAGAATAATTAATGAAATTTTCTTGATGTCGATACGGATGTCGTTTTGCCAATTGAATAGGATTGATTAATTTATCACACAATTATAAATAGCAAGCATAAAGTAAAGCGATCACACACGCAACAAAACGTGGAAACCCCAACAGTAAAAACCATGGGAACATAGCCGAATCCATGCGCCTTAGGTGTTGAATCCACCAGCTTGCGGGTGTACTTCTTGTACTAACCGAATCCATTATCTCTTTCTTCAATCGATGATTGAGTATCGATCCCACGATACCTTTGGAATCCACCATGAACTGAACACGATCCACTAAAGCCTTGGAATCCACCAAAGCTCTCACAAACTCATGAAATAATGATATGTAGAAAGCTTAGAAAATAATCACTAATACGCCCATGGGTTCCGTATTTATAGATGAGACAATCCTTGAAGTCCAAAATTTATTCTGGCTCAAACGAGGAAATCAGAACCATGCAGAACAATTACAAGTTACAATACTCTGTCAAGCAGATAAAAAGAATCTCAAATCAGCATGCTTCATTTCAAGCAGATAAAAACAATCATCAAACCGTGAGAAGCCTGCTCGAGCTGGTATACATAGCCACTCAAGTGGCCAATCACAATTTGTGCATTTAAAGCTTGGAGTTCACAAATAAAATGCATGATCAGCAAATTGTCCCCAAATAGCCAAACAATTCCATTTTATTTGTAATAACGTGAACATGATTAATGAAAGGTGAAATGTCAAATAGACCCTTTCTTTTTTTCATTTTTCTTGCTATTTTACATCCCCAATCCAATTATACATTGTTTATATATATATATATATATACATATATATATTTTTTGATAAATAAAAGCAATTTTATTGAGAGCAACATCAAGCTGATGCATCAAGCTAATGCAAAAGAATACAAAGAAGAACCCCAATATGGGGGGAAACCCCCTAACCAATCAAGTCATCCAAAAAATCTTTAAAAATGAACACATCTGGATCCACCCTTCCCTCAACCCAACTGCACAAAACTATTAACAGCTGATTCTCTAATCAAGAATTATACATTGCATATATTACATACATACATATACATTATATACATATACATACTACTGCTGGTAGAGAGGGAGGGTGGTCGTAGTGGATTTAGTAGAGAGAGAAAGGGTGGTGATGGTGGGCTTTTGTAGAAAAAGAAAGGGTGGTGTTGGTGGGCTTTTGTAGAGAGAAAAATGGGTGAGGTGGATTTTGGTAGAAAGAGATGTGATAGGGTGGTAATGGTGGTGGGGATGGTGGGTGGCAGCAGAAGGTGATGGCAGGTTGATAATGGAAGAGAAAAAATGTGAAGAAAGAAAAAAATAATGTATAGGGTTCTAAAGATCATTTTGCTACTGTCAATTGATATAAAAATAAAATAAAAACTCTATGAGTTTCCATTAATATGCATTAACCATGCCAAAAGAACAACAATGATAAGATCGCAATTATTATCCCCATGCAAAACAAAACATATCACAGGTCTGGCTTCCTACAAATGAAACAAGATATTGTTTAAATGAAGATTAGACAAAAACAGAAAAACAAGAAAGAAATGAGAAAGGTAAAAAATACATGAAAAATGGGAGGAAAAAAAGAATGAAAGGAAAAGACTACAACTCTACATTGCAACACAAGAGAATGGAAAAACAAAGCTAAGATGGCATACTGCAATGTTCCTTTATGAGGGTTCCAGCCTATGTCACATGGACTATTCTACATGTATAAAGTACCCATGTTGAACACTCTGACACCTAGATAAGGGCATGACATAAATGCTCAACACGTATAAATATTTACATAGCAAGCATATTTAGTAATTCAAATTTATCATGAAAACCTATCAATATAACCCGGTATTATGCATGAAATGCTCTATGAAACCTTGTGAACACCATTTTAACCTAAAAATTAAAATAGGTATATTAAGAAATCCTTGGTCATGGGAATTAGATGAATCGGCCATGTAGACACATACCTACACTCGACACCGGTACCCAACCATGTAATATAGGTTCCAGCCTTGGAAATCATCAACCCATGAATGCAAGAAAGTTGTTACCTCAGGGGCACAAAATATAATAGTATCATCTGCATAAAGTGAGACCAGTAAAGATCCATCAGGTTGTCCCATGTCAAAGCATACAAGGAAGCCCCTACACCTTTTTCTCAATCATTCTGTTGAAAACTTCTGTATCTAAGATGAAAGGCAGAGGAGACAAAAGGATCTCCCAAATGCAATCCCCTAGACGTATGAAAAAAAGCCAGTTGGAGAGCCATTAACTAAGACCAACAACCTAACTGTGTCGAGATACAATACCGAATCCAGCCTCTCTACTAATCCCCAAACCCCAACATATACCAGTCTTGATACTAGAATTGTCCTTTTATCACCACCAACACTACAACCAAAATCTACCTTTCTAAGACTTAGACACCACCATAAGCAACACAACTTTTAGGCAAGTAGCAAGAACTTTTGTCAAAATTCTCTATCCCTTCCAATTATGCTCAAAGGACTAAAGTTTCTAATATCCTCCCTCCTCCTCCCCCTTCCCTCTTCTTGCAAATTGAGGAAGAAGGCATTAAGTCTCTATTTTCCGTTGTTTGGTTGATTAAAAAAAGTAACCAATATTTTTTAAGTAAAATATTTTTCATCAAAGGACAAAAAACAAATTACATATTAAAAACCCGTAAGTCATTTTGTATATCTCACTCTATGTTTTGGAAACCCCAAAATGGTGAAGGTTTCTCTTGCTCAACCCTTCAAAAGACCTGAAAAGAGTGAGGGCGGAGAGATGGTGAAACATTGAATCGTTGTTTCATCAGCTCTTGTTTGAGGAGTCATCGGCGAATCACCAATGATTGTTTTCCGACTACATCGCGCTTCATCGTGTTTTCTATTGATCTAGGGTTCATATTCTATCTCACTATTTTATTTTGTTTGAAGCAAATACAGAGCATATGGTCATGAATCGTGACATTGGTTAATCTCATATTCAGATCGAAACTCTTTCAAGGCCTCACTGATTTCTTAATCTAATATTCAAAGTTGAGTGCTCTCTCTTGCACATGTATATTTATACAAACATACATAGTTGATTTGAGGAATTGATATGAACTGGGTTTTGAGTATGTTGTTTTGTGGTTTTTGTTGCTTGTGTTTAATTAAGTTAGGATTAACTATTTGTACGGCCCTGTATTAGGTTCTAGGAGTTTTAGGCATGTTTGTCTTGTACATGCATATAACTTACATCTTGATCAAATGTTTCCAGTTTGTGTCATATACTGTTTTGTAGATGTGATGATAGTTTTGACTATTTTGATATTTTCTTCTGTGTTTTCCCCTCATATAATTGATACTGCCAATTAATGTTTGTATGTCCCAGAAAGCTGGCATTTGACTGTATTGTATTTGGTCACCAAGTAAGTATTGTTAGTTTATTATTCATAGATGGTTTACTCCTCTTCAATAATCCAGTATCTAGAAGTCTGCTCATTTGAGTGAATCATCGATGATGTTTTTAGGCTAGGACCCAATATTGCTTGTTGCCTTAACATTCCTTATTCCCAGATTCTAGTGTCCACAATTACTTTGTTAAGCTTCAGTCTCTTAAAATTTCAAACTAGTCATGACCACTATATTCTTGTTGGTCAATTCATGTTTGGCTTAAGACATGATCTATAAGAACCTAGAGGACGCCTATGGAGATGCTATAGAAGTTGAGCTTTATTTGGCAGTAGAAGATCAACTTAATAATTGTCTGAGGTAACCAATTATGCAGTACCTAACATTGAATCATCACCTATGGTGACACTTGAAGAACAGCCCATTGGTTTTGTGTCCTTGCCTGCTATTCCGGATCCGCTTGATTTTAGTATGGACAATCCCCCCAATCCATTCACTCTGTTACTTTATCCGATTACATGCTTGAAGTTGGTAGCACTTTAGCTGATATTCTAAATTCTCTTAAACATCAGGGCTTGCATGTGACTTTGGTGCACCCCGTGTCTAATTCATTCACATATTTGATGTTGACATCTAATGGGTGTATTGTTGTCATTCTTGAATATAGACCACATGCATATTTTATTGACTCTTTTTTTACTTTAAATATTGGCTCAATATTTCATATGGAGAATATGATACTACTTGATCAAGGAACCTTGCAGCCTATTGTTTTGTTTGATGGTGTTTCTCCAAGAATTGTTGATGCTTGTCCACTACCTTTTATGTAATTGCTTCTTGTCAGTCCTCTGTTGGATTTCTTATGATGGATGCCATCAAGGGTCGAAATGTTGTATTCAGGCATAAGCTTCATTTCCTGGATGACTTCTCTTAAGACTCTCCGAAGAGTTTTTCGCAGCTGAGGAGAAATGATGCCAATAGAAAAGGCATTGGATGAGAAAGGATTTGGAGATTTTCAGAAAGATAAGGATTTTAGAAATTGTTACATTATTATAATATTACTTAAGATTTCACTAGTCTTATTTTATTTTGGAAATTCTTATTTAGGATTTTTAATTATTGCCATGTTTCATTTTGGAAACTCATTAACTAGCGTTCTCTGGGTTGCCTATAAATAAGCCATTATGTAGTAGA